ATGCCACCTACTTTGAAAATGTAATAAGGCCACGTCAAACTGGGACAATCCTCGTATGTCACTTTTTTTTTGTGTGGTGCCATATGCAATCGCTTAATGGTTTTACCTGATGTAACGTACGAGGGTTGTCCCACATGAACGTGCCCTTGGGTATTTATAGAGTGGGTACCACTGCAAATGAAATTTTTATGATTTAGCCCGTGAAGATCGAAGTTCCTGGGAATTTTTTTCAGATTCTTCAAAAGATAAATTCAATTTTTGGCATGGTGATAATTGAAAACTTTTCAGGTTTTGGCGCGGTTCTCCACTCATGTCACAGGGTGCTAAAAATTTGTCAGCAGAGCTAAAAAAAATGAAAATGTTATCTCGTTTTAGCCATAATGTTTTACACATTTTCGCATATTTTTAGAGTGATTATTTTGTCTGCAACAAATGAAAACGTAAGTGCATTCTCCATTTTTCCAAGAGTACGGGTTCATCTTCAATTTATTCTTTATTTCCTCTTTGAAAATATCATCTCGATCGTCCTAAAAATTGTGGGAGATTTACCAAGACTATTATTACAAAGGGATACTTTTAAAAATTGCAAGGAAAAAAATTATAAACGAAGGGGGCGAGATATCTTTTGTAACAAACTCGACATTCCGTGTCTGTGCTGTCGATGTGTGTGGCGTTTGCGGATGATGACGTTTGTGGAGGGGATGGGGAAATGGACGTTGTCAGGACAATCGACTGGACATCACGGTCTGTCGAGCCCTTTTCCTCGCCTTTATTTTCCATCCATCCTCCTTTTTGAATGTTGACCATGGGGATATATATATTGCAGCTTATTTTCCGGCCGACGGCTTATTTCGGATCAACTGTTAATCATTCCGAGCCGTGACTGGTATCATGCCTATATACACAGTGCAGAGAACACGGTTTTCCTTTTTTCCTGTTGTGCTCTGCTCTTGTCTATGTCCGTGTATGTGTATGTGTATGCATGTGGTGACATTTCCTCATGGGATGTGTTTGTCGTGACGAGGCAATGTTTGGTTTCGCTGTTTTCGTTGGAACGTTGGATGAATCACTCGGAGATCAACGTTCTGCTGTTCGGATTCCCGGAAGGAAATTCCTGGTGTATGTAATGCAGAAAAAAACATATTAGGTTTCCCGAGAATTTGGTGAGGTATAGAGGACTATTGTAATTTATGTTGAACTATTGCAAATATTTCCCCACGCCCTGAACACCTCAAGACTCCGAGCCAACAGAAATTGGATCCGATTTTCTGTAACTGGTTTTTTATTTAATATTTGTTTACGAGGTGTATTTGAGGGTCTTTATAACAAAAATGGCGAATGTATTATTGGGATTCTGAATTCATTTGTTTTAAAGTTTTTCGTGAGCATTGAAGATTTCAAATTCTTTCGGAGCAAGGAAAATATTTTCTGAGATCGTGTTAATTCCAGGCGACACAGAAATCGGATCAGTTATTCTCTGCTGGAATTTTTGGATATTTCTTCGCGATTTGGGTTTCTCTAGGACATGAATGCTGAATGTATCTGTTTCAAGTTTTTCGTGAAATATAAGGTTTCGATTTTCTTGAATAAAGGAAAATCGAAAAAATTTCGAAGTATCGCATATGTTTTCTGAAGTCGTGAAAAAGTATTTGTATACGAGACAATCGTGGGTCTCTATGATATAAATGGCGAATGTATTAGTTTCTAAATATATATATCTGTTTTACATTTTTTTCGGATGCTTCCAAGATGTCAACCTATTTCAGAGCAAGGAAAGTTAAAGTCATGTTCAAGCACTGAAAATACTTCCTGACGTCGACAAGATTCCAAGCGAACAGAAAATGGATCAGTTACAGTATTTCAAACCCCCTTTTTATGCAAGATAATTGGGATTTCTTCAGGACATAAATGCTGAATGTGCTGGTTTCTAGTTTTTCGTCAAATTTAAGGTATAAATTTTTATTTGTGAAGGAAATTTGGAGAAATGGTGAAGCATTGCAAATATTTTCTGGGGCAGAAAAGATTAAGAGCAAACAGAAAATGGACCAAATATTTGCTGAAGACTTTGGATGCGTTTGAGGACGAAAAGATCTAAATGTATTTGTTCCAAGTTTCGGTGAGCTTTGAAGATGCAATTCAAATTAGAATGAATTCTTACGCATTGCAAATATTTCCCAACACCGGAAAGATTCCAAGCAAACGGAAAATGGATGGAGATTCTGTAGCTGATTTATCGAATATTTGCTGAAGTTATTTGGATGCCTCGAGGGCATAAATGCTAAATGTACATCATTTGTTTATGATTTTCGTTGAGCTTTGAAGATGACAGCTTGTTTTGGATAAAGGAGACTTTTAATGAGCGGCGAATATTTTTTTAACCCCGAGAGATTCCGAGCAAACATGAATTGATTAAATTTGAGCCTCTCAATATAACTGATATTTTCTCAAGAACTTTGGAAGTTTGGATGCATTAAGAACATGAGTTGAAATCTTTTTCTCTAAATTTCGGATCGGCTTTGAGGATTTCAAGCATTTTTTCGATACCAGTTCATTCAAACAAATGCTTTAAAAGAAAGCTGGTGAGTTGTGTGACCTTGTTTTCTTCATCACACCATCAACAAAATAAAAGGTCAAGTCATCAGTTCTTAGTGTGTAATTCATCAAATCATGTCAGGTGCCTCTTCAAGTCATACAAGTAAAGCCTGTCTTACTTCTAAACTTTTTCTAAAAACCTGTCTACAGTAGTAGCTTTTTGTTTCCAAATGAGCGCTATGAGTAGAAGATTGTTGAAGATGCATGCGGGTATTTTCAAATGTTTTTTCGATTGAATGAAGACAAATTCCAAATAACTGTACAGCCATCATTTAAGGCACATGAAAAATTTTGGAGTTTGACAATTTTTTCAATTATTGTGCTTTATTTAAGAGCTGCAAGTGTAAAACAAAATTACACATACTGTATCTTCAAATTAAAAATTATTTTAATTGTTTTAAAAATTATTTTAATTATTTTTAAAATTATTTCAATTGTTTTAAAAATTATTTTAATTATTTTAAAAATTATTTCAATTATTTTAAAAACTATTTCAATTATTTTTAAAAATTATTTCAATTATTTTTAAAATTATTTCAATTATTTTAAAAATTATTTCAATTATTTTAAAAATTATTATTAATTATTTTAAAAATCATGGTAACTGTTGTATTGTGGTTCTGCATATCCGGACTCTTTCTTGTGAGTAAGAATGAGTATGTCAAGAAATTGAAGTACAGTAAAGTATTTATTTTAATCAACGGAGCTCGCATCAAACTCTAGAGTCTAGAGAAACTATGTTGGCTCAGTTAATAAAATCGTGCTGTGAATGGACAATGAAAAATAAACCCCGGAGAATAAATTCAGAGGTTAAAATTATCCCATCCTTGAACTGGAATTGTGCTCTAAATTTTTGGCAGTCGCAAGAAGATGAACCTGAAATTTCATCAATTTATTTCTTTGTTGATTATTATGTTGATTCCGTGGCATTTCCGTAATTTCCAGAACTTTGAAAATACCTGCGCTTGTTAGCTTGAAGCGTTTTTCGCTTATTTTTATTTTGTTTTGAGTGTCCCTCTTTCCTTTTGTGCTTGTGAAGGTGTGAGTGTGATCTGCCACCTCCGTAGTGTTTCGTAGGTCTGTTTTCAGTTTACTTTACGGTACTTTTCAAATGTATTCGTAATTTCTTCGAATCTCATCATGGCTTCCGAATCGGAAGACGCATTATTCATGACTATAGCTTTGAGCTGAAGTTGTTGTTGTCCCAGTTATGGCTGTTGTGATGAAGACCGTCGCACCCAAGTGTAATTCATCAAATCATGTCAGGTGCCTCTTCAAGTCATACAAGTAAAGCCTGTCTTACTTCTAAACTTTTTCTAAAAACCTGTCTACAGTAGTAGCTTTTTGTTTCCAAATGAGCGCTATGAGTTGGAGATTGTTGAAGATGCATGCGGGTATTTTCAAACGTTTTTTAGATTGACTGAAAACAAATTCCAAATAACTGTACAGCCATCATTTAAGACACATGAAAAATTTTGGAGTTTGACAATTTTTTCAATTATTGTGCTTTATTAAAGAGCTGCAAGTGTAAAACAAAATTACACATACTGCATCTTCAAATTAAAAATTATTTTAAAATAATTATTTAAAAATACACTAATTTTAATCATTTTAAAAATTATTTTAATTATTTAAAAAATTATTTCAATTATTTAAAAAATTATTTCAATTATTTTAAAAATTATTTCAATTATTTTGAAATTTATTTCAATTATTTTAAAAATTATTTCAATTATTTTAAAAATTATTTCAATTATTTTAAAAATTATTATTATTAATTATTTGAAAAATCATGGTAACTGTTGTATTGTGGTTCTGCATATCCGGACTCTTTCTTGTGAGTAAGATTGAGTATGTCAAGAAATTGAAGTACATTACAGTAAAGTATTTATTTTAATCAACGGAGCTCGCATCAAACTCTAGAGTCTAGAGAAACTATGTTGGCTCAATTAATAAAATCGTGCTGTGAATGGACAATAAAAAATAAACCCCGGAGAATAAAGTCAGAGGTTAAAATTATCCCATCCTTGAACTGGAATTGTGCTCTAAATTTTTGGCAGTCGCAAGAAGATGAACCTGAGATTTCATCAATTTATTTCTTTCTTAATTATTATGTTGATTCCGTGGCATTTCCGTAATTTCGAGAACTTTGAAAATACCTGCGCTTGTTAGCTTGAAGCGTTTTTCGCTTATTTTTATTTCGTTTTGAGTGTCCCTTTTTCCTTTTGTGCTTTTGAAGGTGTGAGTGTGATCTACCGCCTCCGTAGTGTTTCGTAGGTCTGTTTTCAGTTTACTTTACGGTACTTTTCAAATTTATTCGTAATTTCTTCGAATCTCATCATGGCTTCCGAATCGGAAGACGCATTATTCATGACTATAGCTTTGAGCTGAAGTTGTTGTTGTCCCAGTTATGGCTGTTGTGATGAAGACCGTCGCACCCATTCCGGAATTTCCTTGTGGGAGGAAATGTTTTACCCATCCAAGCCTGGGACTAACTTTTTAAACGAGCCTTTGAGAAGCAACACGTGAGTCTCTTATTACCCCACGGTTTCGGAACGAGTGACAAATTTCCGCTCATCGGGTCCGTCTTTGAAAGACTCTTGATACACTACTCTGACTATATATTGGATGTGTGTGTGTGTGTGTGTGGATGAATTGATTTATTTTTTTAAAATTGTGAATGAATTTTTTAAAGAGCTGTTGCTGGGTTTTTTTGCGTTGCTTTTTGTTTTGTTTTGCAGGAGGAATTTGCCGACGACCCGGTCTCACATGACGTTGCGGTTTTTGAAGCGATGCGCTTATGCTTTCGGGGCCCCGGCGGGGATGATAATTATCTTGTTGGTGTTCCAGTTGGCCGACGGACTTCCGGAAACTTTTTTGACTAAGTCTATTGACCCTGCTAAGCGGTGTTGGTTCAAGGGTTTGTTTCGTTTGTCTCATCATTTTTTTTTTTTACAGTAAGAAAAGAGCTGCGTTTATCCGATCGAGCTCGCGGCCGACGAAAATCCGAATATCCGGAATTCTTCGTGAACAATTTTACCATAGATTCATCAGTTGATTTATTTCGGAAGGATTTGGTGCTTGTCAGCTGGAGGATTTACAGTCTTTAAATGATTAATTGTATGTGTAAAATTTTCCGTATATTGTACATGCGTAATTTTAATGTCACCGCCCAATTATTCGAATATTTTACAGTATCTGCATTTCCCTTCTGGTCTTTATTTATTCGAATAATCGAAAATTTTCAGCTAGATTTTATTATGAAATTTACTGTGAACCGGAGTGAAAAGCACTGAAAGAAAATTCCACGAGGATGAGAAGCATCATTCTTAAAAACGCTTAAAGGAAAGCATTTTCGTCGTTCGGTAAAAATAGTTTCCCCATTGAAAACATATATAATAATGAAGGATAAAGATAATTTAATAATGATTATATATATTTTTTATACAGAAAACTGGGATGAGCATCTGACGCTAGGATGAATTTTTCTCCAAAAAAGTTGTCTAAAAGATTTACGTGCTTATCGTACTTCATTAAATGCAGCAATGCTTCCAAAAATGTACTTTGAAATGTACAGTATAAGAAAAACCGCCAGAGACGATAAAGCCCTCAGAAGAAACATAAATTGTGTGATCTTTTATGGTCAATCATTACAGCCGAAGCCCGAATGTCTTTTTGTTCCGTCACAACATGAAATATACATGAACTCGTTTTCATGAATATTTTTTTATTTGTGTAGGGGATAATGCCATCTTGTTCTACTTCTACGGACCGATTGCCTTGCTGTTGTTGGCGAATATGGTGTTCTTCGGACTGACCATGCACTTCCTGATAAGTCACCGGAGGAAGACTAGGAATCTGAACATGGAAGAAAGCGCGAAGAAAAGGTCATCCCTCTCTACCATTCTTCCGCATTTGAATTTGATGATGATTTATCAGAAAAACAATTATTTACATATTTTAGAAGACATATATAGCTGCGTGATTTGAGCTTCATTGTATAGTGAGAAAGTTCCCAACCCTTTTATATTACTGTATCTCGTATATGCTGTAGTAGTTTAGTTCATATCACTTCATCTCATTCAATCCCGCGAAAGACGGACTTTTATTGCTGTTTACAGATTATTATAAGCCGAGTTGACAGGATGCTGAACTTGAAGGCGAGGGTTTATTTGCCCGATTATAGTATTTCACTTCCTTTAAAAAAAAAAAACAGCAGTTTCTTTTTCATGGCTTTTCTCTTTCCTGTGTCAATAAAATGACAGCCAAAAAGGATTTCGAGTGATGCAGGTTCGAAGTGGGTAGATTAATTTAACGCATTGTTTCATATATTCTAAGGGAATTCAAAAAGGGGCTTGCAAAAGATTCGAATTAAGGAGGTTCGATTTATCGAGGTTCAACAGTACTGTGCATGTACGGTATATTAATAAAATTTTTCTTTTTGTTCATTTCCATGTTCCGTTGTATACTGTCGAACAGATTCACGCTGTTCATCAAGCTCTTCGTCGTCATGGGCGTCGGCTGGATCACCGAGGTCATCTCGTGGAAGCTGGGTCCAGAGGAAATCTGGTACGTCACCGACATCGTCAACGCTCTCACGGGCATCCTCGTCTTCCTGGTCTTCATCTGCCGCCGGAAAACCCTGGAGGACCTGAATAAACTCATCAAAGAGCGCTGTTTGTCGCGTGGGAACGGAGGTGTCGGCAAATCTAGATCTATCGCATTCACAAAATCTCAGGAAACGGCTAAGACTCGGTTTTCAACTCAGGAAACGTCACTAACGATGGCCAACAGCAGCGAGGGCAAAGTGAAAACGATGGGCGATGAACCTTCCGGCGTGGGTGCGGACGTTGCTGATGCCAATTTTAACGGACGACGGTTGAGCGGATCGCTGCGAGGAGATGATGCAGATGAGTGAAGGATATCGGACTTCACTTACAAAGATGGCCGATTCTATGAGGACACTAAGACTCCTTATTCAAAGGTCGACGTACTATATATACAAGAGGATGAGAAAGAACGGCATATGAGACCTCATATCGGTTGCTGGAGGCTAAAGTTGCGACTGTAAAAAGTCTGGTTCAACGAAAAGAGGAAGCATCTGATGCAGATCTGTCAGTATTACATCTAAACAAAACAACAATTTTTTTTAATTTCTGATGGACGTTTGAGATTCATTAGCCAGTACATAACCCGGGTGAATGGTTTTCTTGACCGCATGGAAATTTAACCTTGAATGAAAGTGAATTGGAACATTGCTGCATGCTTACGCGGAAGTGTCTTTTATGTATAAAAGGTATGATCGAGGCGCATTCCAGAAATTTTTGTTAGGCGTTGGAAATGACGTTTGAAAGTGCGTTTTCGCTGTTGTTGTAGTTTGCAGATTATTGGTTTGGAGAAACTGATTTCCGTTCTTCAATCCAGGTAAGGCCAAAAAAGTTTTAACAATTTGTGCGGGCTGTTTGCTGATTGTATGATGTATATATAGAGAGTAGTACAAGAGCTACTATGCAAAATTAAAACACGAGAACTATTGAAAAGCCTTGAAAATTGTAACTGTGTGGTGGAATTGAGTGCGTTTTCCGTTGTAAATGTTGACCATCTGGGTGTATTGGAGACAAGAAACTACAATTTTTTTCGGTCGCTTGAATGAATGGACATTTATGGATTTTTTAAAGTGAACATTTGCTGTCAGGCGTAAACTTCAGGATGTCCTGCGTGGATTTTAATGTGAATTAAGAAGCTTCGAGTAGAAAACTAGTTGCTTAATTTGGTGATCGCTGATTGTGCCATTATGATTATAGAAAATGGCTTCGATTGGGGTATGTCTTTATAGTTATGGATGTAATTCTCGGCAAATGTTTTTCGATTTTTTTTTTCATGAATGCGGTGAATTCTAGTCTGAAGAAGAAAAAACTAACTGTGTTGTGCTGTTGAATTGGAAACAGATTTTGACGCTGTTCATCATTCCCGAGACTCATTCTGAAGCAGAAACCCGTAATTTATTCCAGTTTGTCCAAGTTCTACTGAATTTGGCAAGTTTGCACTGAAACTTTTTTCCGTGAAAGCCACAATTTTTAAGGCATACTTAATCAACCGCTTTAAATTAAACGGAAAACTAGATTTTTTTTTTCGTCTTGTCGAAGCTTTAAAAGAAAGTCGGCGCGCGAAAGGGTCTTTGCCTGATTCATTGATTGACGTGCATGCAGGAGGACTCTCTATATGCAATAACGATCTTGTCTGTAAAACGATTTTTTCTGTACAGCGAATTCATTTTTGGTCCCGTTGGGGTTTCTCCCCGTGTTTTAGGGGTTCTCTATACATCGACATTGTCCCTACAACGAATCTTTTTTTGTTCGACCCCTGAATTCAGTTGCATTGTATATAAGAGGGAGTCCACCTGTAAATAAGGTTGACGGTTTGAGCAGAAGGTTGATGTGAGGATTATTTCTGCAAGACTTTCGGCGTTTTTGCGATGAGACTTGGAATAGGGCGAACTTTGTTAATTTTTTCGATTACGACTGTTTTCAAGATCCCGTCATGGCTTTTTGATCTCTATATTTACTGAATGTCGTGTGTTGTAATTCTCACGCATTTCTGGTTCTATTATTGACGAGAATTTTTTTGCTTGCTGTGTGCTGTTTGGAATTTTTGATGCTTCTGACTCCTTTCTTATGCAAGTTATAGTGTTCTGGAGAACGTTACAATTGCCTTTTTTTTTTTTTTGGACTGAGCTGTCGAAATAAAGTGGGACTTCGGTTGTTTGAAACAGCGTCACGTTGACTCATTTTTAATGCAGTTTTGCAATATGCTCTTTGATTCCCTCAAGCTCAGTGATTTCAGAGTAACAAATGGATGCGCTCGAGGACTGTTTTGGAAGAAACTTTTTTCAAGTGTTATAATCCGCCGCCGGACTGATTTTGTAGGCGGAAATTCAACCAGCTTTCACGAGATTTTTAGGGGCTCTGTAGTCATGGTTCGATGGTGTCCGTCAAGTGCAGAATAACTTTCGTGGCAGTTGAGTTTTTGTGTTTTCATCTTCAAATATGGCCGAGAAGGATGCATCGCTTTTGAAGAAACTGAAGACCTTGAAAGATTCCCAAGATGATGTAGAAGGAGTATCGAAATGGTGCCTCGAAAAAGCAATTAACAAAGCTGCGAAAATCATTGGTCTTTGGATCCGAGCTTTCCGAGAAGGTATGTCATTTTTCCTATTATCTTGTATCGCTGGGTTTGCATCACATGCATTCTTTTCAGCGGAGAAACCCGAAGTTCGAGTGGCATTGATATATTTGTCGAACGACATCATCCAGAGAGCTAAACGGAAGAAGATACGGGATTATGTCGAAGGCTGGAGAGACGCTCTTTCTGCTGCCATGCCTCTTGCAAGGTAATAATTCATCATCACGAAACTGTCGTCGTATTGTGCTAAAATGCAAATAATCTACTTATTTCAGAGGTCAAGAGACTTTGGTCAACAAAATTAAGCGAGTTTTGACGATTTGGCGAGAACGTCATGTATACGATGAAGCATTCGTCACATCCCTGGTTGCTCTCCTTGACTCTCGGAATGTCGACAAGGAACAGAAAAGTTACGGTTTCCGAATGACAGATTTCAGTGATGCCTGTACGAAAGTTATTGCTGGTGAAAAGCGCCTTGTTGAGTCCCGGAAAGCATACGAGGATGAGAAGCTCAACTCGAAGAACATCGAGAGTATCCGATACTTGTTCAAAGGCATGAAACCCGGAGACCGTCGAATTTCGGATTTTCACAATGGTATCGCTGCTTTGCGATCCCTGGTAGCTGCAGAGCGTGCCCAGGCGGCGGAAATAGCCGAGCTGATCCCGATTGCGGAAGATATGCGAAAGTTCTATGATAAGGAACGTGCAGACGTGAAAGTCGTCTCCAGTGCCTATCATAATTTCGGGGATCGTGTCGCAAATATGCTTCCCCTTCTGAAAGAAAAAGAAGAGGTTTTGTTGGACGATAGTCCGGTGCCGTCACCCGATGAAAATGCTCCATCTCCTGTTGGCTCGGATGACGATTTCCCGCTTCCACCAATAGATGAGCCATCGTCCGTCAACTCAAAATTTGCACCCTTGGCAACTTCATCATTTTTTGGTTCCTCTAAAGTTGTGGAAACTAACCCACTTAAAAGTCGTCCCGCAGTATCGTTTTTTGGCTCATCTCCCGTGAACATTGATACAAATGTGTCAAAAATTCCCATGCCTGTGGAGCGGAGAACACATGACGATGAAATGCCTTCTATGAATAACATGGATGTGACAAAGATTCCCGTGCCTTCCCCGAAGACTAACAAGGAACCCACTTCTATTGCGGAACCTGGGAAAATACTTCCTTCGTCTACAAGTGCGTCATTTTTCAGTCAAGCAAGAGATTTGCTACAGCATTTCTCCCTTGATACGGACTCAAGAAAACCTCAAGCATCGGTAAGTTCCAGGAATAGAAACAAGCATATTATCCATTTGAAAAGGCTTCTCTTCAAATCCAGAATGAAAAGCGTAACCGCCTGCGAACTCGTTGACATTCGAAGTAACTTTTCTCACTCGCCTTAAATGTCGAAAATGAAAGCGAAGTCATTATCACAGGGTTCTTTTTTTTTTTTTTACTTGGACCACCTTTCTTATGGTTGAAAATTCAGGCGTGGCTGTGGAATATTCGTTGCGGTAATTTAAGCTTCATTTCCGTCGCATTTGTTTTTTCAATAACGGTAGTCAGTGAAAGAAAAACTCCTTATTGGATTAAAATCGCGGTCATAATCATTTATGAGATTTCTAGAAATTTGACACTATCTGTCATCAACATCACTCAGTGTCGGAGAACATTGCTTGTACAGTATTACGGGATATGGTTATTTGAATATGCCTACATTTTTTATTGTTCACTATGGCGGAAGTCTCAAAGCTTCGCTGTTCAGAGCGAAATAAGTAGTGTATGGAATGTCCTTCCGCATCATCGAGTTTTTGTCTTCGTTCAAAGATTGAAAATTAATCCGTCAAATTGACGATTTTATTCGATTGAATTTTTGTAGGCGATTCCAGAAGATTCTGACGAACGAAGCAAAAAACGCTCAAGGAGCGGAAGTCGGCGGTCGCACAGCAAAGAAAAGGATTCTTCGCGGAAGAAGCATTCCCATCGCTCAAAACACCGTAAAAAGCGCTCTCATTCTCGGAGAGATTCTAGGTCTCCGAGCCTCGAAGACGATCCCCGGTATCCGTCTCCTCCGGAAGTGCCGGAAAAGGAGGAAGTGATCGATAACAAAAAGGGTTCCGGTGGAGAAGTTATTGTGAACGGTGTGACAGTGACAATCCCGGATAATATTTTCTCGTTACCTCTCAATCCGCCCCCTGCGTTTTCCAAGGGACTTCTCCCGGGATTGGCGTCCATGTCCGAATCACCGTTTTTATCCCCCTTTCAGGTTAGCTACTGATGTGATCTTGCTTCAAAGCTGTTCCCCTTTTTCGTTCTGTCTTTCTGCTTACTCCGTGGCTGGAATTCCTGCCTCCGCCAACATTTATCTCGGCTGTCATGTGACCGAATGTAGTTTCATTTTTGATAGACCGAAGAAAAAAGCCAATTTGTATTGTGCACCTTGAAAATTGAGCTTACGTTTCAAATGCCGTTCATTATTACTAAGACATCAGATTTTATGGTTTTGTCTTCATTCGTGTGCCCACCTTGGTCATTTAAATTTAAAAACTCGATCAACAAGTGGCCACATCTCGACGTATCTTCTTGCTTCATTTCAACATGTTATCAAAATTGAGCCGTTCTGTTCATTTTTTAATCTAAGTGTTTAATATTGAACAAGTCATTCTTGCTTACTTCATCCATTTCGGATTGTTTGTTCATTTTAAAAACTTTTCGTGATTGTTTCGTTGTGATGTTTTCTAGTGGCCATTTTTTCGTATGTCATGCCAATCTAGTTACCTTAATCAGAAGATCAAAGATTTTCCGAGGTAGTTCGGTAGTTCGTTTAGCTGATATTCGGCTTTTTGTTATGTTACAGTAGTACTAAATGTAAGTGAGATTTTTATTCATTTCCTTTTGCGAGTGCTGAAATTTAACTAGACAATTTTTTATTCTAATCAACCTCATTTAGGGTAATTCAAGCAATGCCTTCTCAATACCTGCGTTGTTTACGATGCCTCAACCTCCTGTTTCATCAGCGGATTTTACGAGTTCGTCGGAAGCTTCTTTTACTACGCAGGAGAATGGAAGTGGGATAAAATGGGTACCTGCGCAAGTGTCCGCTGCAAATCGAAGTTTTTCGCGTGAGTGCTTATTTTGGGTTTGCATTTGGCCTCCATTCTTCAACTCCTGCTTTCTTACATCAGCTTCGACGAGTGAACCGGATATTGAAGTTATCGGGAGTACTGCCAAACGATTTGGGATTTCGTGGGACGAACAAACCCCGTGGAAAAATTTGGAGGTGAGTTATTGTGTGCGTAAGGGAAGGAATGAAGGACCTGAGTTTCTTGATCATTCATTTTCATTTTTATACAGTATGGTTCAACAGTTATTACTGTGTATTCAGCTTAAGATTATTCGCACGTGTGCAAAAAAGTCTATGAATCCAGCGTTCGAGATATGCGTGCTTTAATTTCTCACAAAGTATGTAGAGTAGAAAAAGGAAAGCTCTCAATGTGCAGACGAGTTGATTAATTTGTAATTACCGTATTGTTTTAATTTGGAAAAAATTTCAATACCCTGCCTAGTGTGGCCTTATTGAATTCTGTAATTGTATGTAATTCTGTAATTCTGTTATTGTATTTGAATTCTGTAATTGTATGAAGTTATGAAAATTATTTTTACCAATTTTCCCGATGAGTCTGACGCGGACGATGATTTTGTATTTGTTCATATTTTTAGTCGATGAATTGGCAAGACAACACCCGCGAAGATGACGACGAAATCTGCGAGATCGTCGCAGAAAAACGACTAAGCCCGGTGAGCCGCGGACAGAAAAGAATCCGGGTACCCCTCCTAGCCACACCAGAAACCCCGGGTCATAAACCAGTGCCCTTTGGCCTCAACAGTCAATCCTCGATGCCAGATTTTTCTGCCGAACAAAATTCACCCACGTGGCAACGCCAGGACGTGAGGTATAACAACAGCAGACCATGGCGAGGAGGTTTTTCTCAACGATGAACGCACTTTTTCCCCGGATGTCGAGTGTAAACATGGCATTAGTCGTTCAATCACGGAACAGATCGCTGTTTCGTGATGGATTATATCAGAAAGAGAAATGGCAAAACTCTCTCGAAACGGTGTCGTTTACTATTAAAAAAATGTTTATAAAGTGTATTCCACAGTTTTTCACGGGCACTTGGAGTGTTGAGACTTGAATTTGACTTGATTCGAAATCACCGGAGCCGTGGGTTTGAATCACACATCTTATCTACCTACTCATATATGAGTAACGCGTTGACGTGACACGTGATCTTCTCACCGAAAAGAGCAATCACTGTTAACACTCAAGGGAGAGCAAAATTTTATCATGAAATAATACTCAACTGATCATCGACAGTGTTTGAGAGAAAGTTGTTTGTTCTTGCAGAAAATGTTGTTGCTTTGGGTCAAGGTGCAATTTTTCCCTCCCTCTCGGTTTTCTCGCAATCTTTTTCATTTTATTTCTCATGTGTTCACTGCTCAGCGGTTCAATTCAGGCAGATTCGTTTTTATTGGAATTGCGGTTGACGATGTTAAACTCGGCGTTTGACAGAGACATACAGTACCTTGCTATGTTTGAGATTAAAGTTTACCGACGATGTTCCGACGTATTTTTCGAAAAAGGTGCATCTTCTTTTTTTCCTCTTCGCTTGATGGTGTTCGTATGTCATGTGCATTCAGGAAGCAGAATGGTCTTGTTGACGTTGGAAGTAGAAGGAGGTTTAGTTGTTTTCGCGGGTAGTATTTTGCAAGCGAAAGTGATTGTTGATCAGCCCCAGACTGATGAGAAGGAGTTGGAGATAACTTTGACGGGACAGGGAGAAACGGGATGGACTGAACAAGAGAGTTCCTACGATGCTGCTTCGAAAAAGCACGTGACAAGATCCCGACACTACAAGCAGGTGGAGGAGTATTTGACGGTGCAGAAAACATTATGGAGCAGTACGTTTTATTGATTTTGATGTACCAAAAATAAAGCTGGTTTGACCCCTTGGGGAATTTGTAAAATCTTCAGGTTAAAAGAATCAGGTTCCTCTTCATAAGCGTTTGTTCAGTGAAGTATTCTGAATGTTCGAAAGAAGAGGCTTGCTAGCCTGTACTGTATAATTGAATTTCTATCCCCTCCTTGTTCAGGAAACAGTTGTGCAGTGGAAATCCGAATACTGCGTGTAGACTCTGATTCATGCCCTATTTTTGAGAGAGAGAGAAAATATATAATCTTTTGAGGTTTAAGTAGGCCGCTTTATTTCCCTTTAATAAAGTAATGTTGAGTTTTACTGTGTTCAGTAGAATTCTCTTGAAAGTTCGTCGCATTATCTTTCGGGTGAGAAAAATGTATTTGTAATTTGCGATCGTATTGCATTCACCTGATTAAAATATTCAGAAAATATAAAAATGTATCTTGGTTTTGAAACCCCTGTTTATCTAAATATCTCCATGTGGAACTTGAACTAAGTTTAAAAAAAAAAGGAGCAGTGGATTGATCTAAATGGAATGATGCCAAAAACTTCGGTGAGGACCACTTCTATGATTTTCTTCAAACCTCTCCTCGCTTGTAAATTAAGGGGAACTTTTCCGAGAGATTGCAGGAAAAAATGCACTGTTATTTTCAGCTCCAATTCAACGTATTACCCTATTTTTTAGCGAAATTTCTACAGAATTAACGTAGCTTTGGCAATTGCGAATAAATAATGGAGTCAGACTTGAGTATTTTTCTGGTTTCGAACGTCCGGATTTGATTTTGAATGATGTAAAATTTTCAGAAGCCACTGGAAGTTCGCTGAGCTCCCGTCAGTCGTTCGATTTTTCTATCAACCTTCCGCCGGATTTGCCTCCTTCGTTCAAAGGCACGTATGGGTCAATTAGTTATTCGATTGCTGCTAAGCTGAAAAGACCCATGTTGAAGTTCGACAAAGAAGCACGGGAAACTTTGATCATTGTCCCGTTGTGCTCCATGGCGCATCTGCGGGAATTGATGGTATGAACGTTCTCATTCCATATATGATGACGATAACATAAATGAGCAGTCGGGTTTCTACGAATTTTATATGCGTGTATACAGTATTTTTGTTGCCCAATAATGAGGAAATTTGTTGGAAGTCGATGGGCAATTATCATCACGATGATTTCTTGAAAATTTTCCCCATGAATAAAATGACGAGTATTTCGTCCGATAAATTTGAAAAAGGACTGTCAAATATCAATTCCTTTTGCGAACGAAATGATGATACAGTAATTGACTGTCCAGGGTTTTCGTCAGCATCGGTAACTTGATTTGATTGATCGATTTTTTTCTCAGGAACCAGTCAAACTGCAGAAAGATAAGCAACTGGAAGTTCTCTTCTGGAAGAAAGGCCATATTCACGCCACAGTGAATCTCCCACGTAGAGTTCATGTTTTGGGAGAAACAATACCGATAACTGCGGAGATTCACAACCAAAGTTCCGTTGTGGTGAAGAAGACGGATGCGAAGCTGATTCAAACTGTGACTTTTCATTGTTCGGGCAGGAAAAAAGAGGAAACTTCCAATGTTGTCCGGATTAAACGAGGGAATGTGTTGCCCGGGACAATTTTCCAGTGGAACAATGTTTCTATGGTGATTCCCAAAAGTATTCCTCCGTCGGACTTCGGTCCTCGTTGTCGACTTTTCCAGGCCCAACATAAGTTTCAGGTTAGCTTTCATGTTTTTCTTGAAATTTTTTCATCTGGGATTATTATTGCGGCGAATTTAAATTGAGGAGGGAAGGAGCACAAATTGCAATATAAGTTGAATCAGAAAATTTTGCATAAACGTACTTGTGTGAGAAAATCCCGTTTCTTAATTTACATCTGTTGATATTTTTACCCGAGAATCTCGGTTCTGATCAGATGATATTTTTACTCACGTATCTTGGCGGACCTCAAGACCTAGCAAAAAGTATTTTGTGAAGAAATCAAGGCGAAACCTGACACAATTATCGAGTCATTTATGTGGAGCGTAAAAGTGATGAAGAACCCGAATCTGTTCCTCTGGGATGTGGATTACTACATATGGTTTAATGCCTGCAGGTTTCAGAGTTCAGCACTCATAATTTTCTTCGTTGTTCTCAGTTTACAGTTGTACCCACTGGATTGCATTTCTCCTTGGACTTGGTGACAGATGTGAAACTGGGGTCTGTTTGGCAGCATCCCCCTGTTGTCGTTCCTGGGCAGCAAGTGCCTGTAACACCGTTGGGCAATCAATTCCCTGCGATGCACTTCCCAGTTTCCCCGCAAGGAGTTCCTCAAGGGCCTTTCGTGGGAATGCCGTACATGAGTCCGCAGCCCGGTCCATTCCCAGTCCAACCGGGTGTTCAGTACTCACCTGTGCCGCCTCAGATGCCTGGCTACCCGTTTCCTCCTGCTGGACCAGGAATGGCACCCCCTTATGCCATGCCTGATGCTCCAAATTTTGTAGCAAGTGCACCACCATCGGATGGGAATTTGTATCCGAGTGTTAACTTCGAAGGTGAGAGATTTTCAGATCATTCTCATTGCGATGGATGGTTGAACACTTTTTGTTTTTTACGATTTATGGGAGTTGTTCACATTGTATCACCCAAGTTTCTGAGTCAGCATCCTCCAAACTTTGGTGGGATCGATTGACAAGACTTCGAGCCAGTCCATTTTCAATTCCCCAGAATTAGATGGAAATGTAGAGTGTTGTTAATATCGGTAGTTATAAAATACGCAAGTGTGAATACCCATTTCAGCATTTTTTTTTCGCACCTTTCACATTGTTGTCAGCATTTTAAAAGAGTAGTGGCCCTATTAGTTTAAAAGAGTAGTTATATTGAAAAGAAATACACGTATCAATTATATTATAATTCCTCTCTGAACATCTCTGGTCTTTTTCCATTCCAACTTAGATGAGGACTCGGATTACAGGGAAGTTTAAAAAGTAACACTCAACTACGTCCCTCTCGTTTTATTTATCCAAGAATCAGAAATTAAACGATGAGGCGGACAAGCTGTATACTTATCCACTGCATTATTGTACTTGAACTCGATTTGATTCAAGATTAGAAGCTATTGAAACGAGGAAAGATATGTTTCAATCAAATATTCGACGCTCGCACCGGATGAAAATATCGACCCTTGACTAATAATGAGCTTCGATTCTTAAAGAAAAGTTTAGTTGCTTAAATCGCTTTAAGCAAAAGTATGACTGCGTTTCCCAACCAATTTTTTTGGATCGTTTGCCATTAAAGCAGTCTAAAGCATTGAGGAATACGAGTATGTATTTTATATTTTTCTAGCACCACCTACCTACAACCAAGCCTGCGGCACTTCTGATGCAAACAATTTCAGACCCTCGCCCGACGACGATGAGTTGACCAAGGATTTTGAAAAGATCAAGATGTGAGCGTTGAATTAAAAGCTTTCTGCTTTCTTGAGTGTCCTTGTGCGAATTCTGGACTTGCGCCTGTTTTAAACATAGTGATGTGAACTGGAAACACTGGTATGTTCTTCTGATGCGTAAAGACCGGTCTTTATGGACTTTCCTTGGTGGCTGTAATATGGTGTGAGAGAAATTTTTGGATCAAGTGAAGGCGTTCTTTTAGATATCCTCTTGCTTCCGAGCGAGTCGTGAGTGCTTTCCCTATGTTGAGCTTGGGAAACGGACAATTCCCCCGATTCTAATTCCCCCGCCTCTATTCCCCCCGCTCTAAAATCCCCGATCCTAAAATCCCCGATTTTTAAAATCCCCGACGTTTATTCCCCCCGGTGTCTAATTGCCCCGAAATAAAAATCCCCATTTACTAAAATCCCCGAAAATGCAAAATCCCCAAATACAGTATACAAAATATCAGCGAAAATGAAAAAATTCGGCCAAAATTGGATTATTTTCGCATGCTGTGGTGTTTTAAGTTTTCTGAAGGTCAGAAAAGACCTTCCAGGTGGGCTGAGGCAAAGTTGGGATTAATCCAATAAAAAGCCCATTGCTTAGCACAGGATTTCTTTCATTTTCCCACAAAATTTTTCTGTGCAAAAAGAAAAAAAAAATTGGATTTTTCCCTAACTTCATCCTCAAATCCCTTTTTCTACCCTGAGATGAGCAGAAGAAGAGGGATGCCAACCTGAAGAATCTGTGTCAATTGTTCAACAGGCACAAAATTAGTCTGGAAAAATTTTCAAAGGAAACAGCTAAAGCAGTGAAACTGAGATACAATTAATAATTTTTTTTATTGCTGATGCGGCTTTTTTTTACATTTTTTGTTTTTTTCAATTTTTACTTTTTTCTTTTTTTTAAATTTTACGTTTTTTTCATTTTTACGTTTTTTTCATTTTTACGTTATTTTAATTGTTATTCAATTATACTTGTTAAATTCAATTTTTGTCACTCAGAAATAAGAAAAACAATTGTCCAACCATCAGTTTTTTATTTTTGGGGGAAATTGTACATCGGGGATTTTTATTATGGGGGATTTCAACAAAAAGCAGGGAAATTAAAATCGGGGAAAATAACACTCGGGGATTTTAAAAATCGGGGAAAATAACACTCGGGGATTTTAAAAATCGGGCATTTTAATTTTGGGGATTTTTGTGACCAGGGATTTTAAAATCGGGGATTATTATTCAGGGGAAATAGAGGCAGGGGAATTGTCCTACACCCGTTGAGCTTGTGCTTGTTGGATCAAAATGCGTGTAAATTGTAACTTGATTGATCTGCCGCTGTGAAAACGCAACAAAAATATTCTTGACGATGTACTCCAAATTCCCATCGTGAAAATCGTGTTACTGCTTTTGAAAGAAAATCGTCGTTATTCGTCAAAGGGGAATGCATCGGGTCCCAAACGTGGCATTCGTGGTTATCTTGGCTCGAAACGAATGAAACTCTTTTTTTTGAGTTCGCCGGATTTTTACTTCCGCTCCGAATCGAAAATGTTCCTGCTTTTGGGCATATTCATCTACAGCATTCGACCGATGAATTGCTTCTCAAGACGGGATAAATTCTTGAATCCGAAATTTTCAAGTTTTCATTTCAGGAGGAATACTTCATCGATCGTGAACCTTTGAAATCTTCGAATGAAATGTCTGTGTATGTCAGGCTGGAGCTTTCTGCTATTACTTGTGCTTTTTGCGTTTCTTCGTGTTGCCGTCGTGAAGGGTGACTATTGTGGTCTTGGGCGAGAGTTTGAACTGCGTTTGCCTTGATAAATTGCGCTGCAGTAATTATGAATGCCAAGAAGCTGAGTCTCCAATTGTCCTATTTTTGAGCATAATCCCTGCAGAAGTAAAAGTGCCGAACGCTTGTGTATTAAATTTAAAGTTTTATGACCCCTCAATACAAATTAATTTTATTGACAAGGTGCTTTAATTTGGATGTAACAAGCTTGCTAATTTTCGAGTATTTATTCAGGAAATACTGTAGTATTTTTTCTGGCTCAGTTGTATAGTGCGAAAATATTATAATTTTCGCTTTGGAGTGCCTCTACTTTAATTTGGAAAGCAAGATATGTTTTTCTGGGAACCGGGAAAAGTTCGAGTAATGCAGGAAATTGCTGAGAAGGCATTCATCTTTAGAAGGGAACGTTTCAGTGAAAGGGACATTCGGCGGAGGCGGCTCTCGTATCCAAATGTTTGTCCTTGTAACCGAAACCGTATACCTGTACCGGCTTTGTTGCTAAGATTAACGGATTACGTTCCATATTGTTGTAAGACGCATTCGATGTTTTTCATCGGGTCAACCCATACTTTCAGTATCAGAAGCGGTTGACGTATTTTTCCCTTCACTGCTCCGCGTTTGTTCATTTCTGCTGAGGAAAATATTTTGGTTTTTACAGTAGAACCAGTCTGTGAACCGCTGGTGAGATTAGCACTAAGATATTGTAGCATCATCGTTTTAACCGGAGAATTTGGAACTCCCGATTTTCCGGAATTCCCGCTTTGAGTCTGCGTGTGATTGGGGGTGCTTCCCCGAAACGTTGAAAGTGCGTCTGTTAGCACATCCTTTTGAGGGGGAATTCCATGATTTTGTGATTCCTTCTTTGCATTTATGATTTCGACCAGGTTCTTGTTGGTATGTTGTGGGAGCTTCATAATTTTTGGGGTTATTTTTATTTTTTGCTGTGCCAGTTTCTTGTAGGTATTATGGTGTTCATTGACATAATAATTGACGGTGGCTGTGTTGTTTATGCGGGTACGACATTGAAAACGGAAATTGTGATAGAAAATGCTCCGCGGCATGCGAAAGTGTTGGAGGTCATATTACATGGTTTCGGTCAAGTGGAATGGCAGGAAGAAAGACCGGCGATGTCTGAAGCTGATGCAATGTTGCCTATTTTTGATACTTTCAAGAAGACGGAGGAGTATATTTTCCTAAGGAAATCGACTGTGATAGGTGAGTATTTTTGTAAAATAGAATGGATGCTACATTTATGTGAAGAAAAATCACAACTGGCCTGCAACAGAGTTAAAATGAGTCTTGGGAAATTCAAAATCTATGTTATATCCGATTTCTTCTCGAGATGCTCGTTTTCTGTGAAGAGTAAAAACGATCATCAGCTAATTTCTCAGCTTGTTGCTTCGTAAGAACGAAAATTTTAATGCATAATTTGAAATTAATGGGAAGAACTAGCCTGTGCGAATGTAAAATAAAATCATTGGAAATTCCTTTCTCCGAGCGAAAATTCACTTGTTTGAAAGTTCATGTGAGCTTTATTGGAACATGCTGGGTTCCAAGAAATACTGTTTTGTAATTTTCTAAAATGATGCACATTTCGGTCAAGCTTTTTAAAATTGCTCGTTGATATTTTAAGAGCAAGGAGAAGGAATATGTCTCAGATGAGACCAAAAAACCTTTTCCTTTACTGGGAATTGTTGATGCTCTTTTTTAATTTGTTTTACTTTCGCAAAAATGTAAAATAGTTGTTTTAATGTTCATGTGTACCTTGTTTCCATTGCAGATGAACCTCGCGAAGGAAGCAGGACAAAGTACAATTTTTCTTTCCGCCTTCCTTCAAATTTACCCCCAAGTTTTGTGGTGGAATCTGGTTTCATTAAATATACTTTGAAAGCCGAAATACAACCTGGTGCTGGAAAGAGTTGCAATCAAGTGCAATCCTTGACACTTGCCCGACCAATTACGACATCTCGTCGAGAAGGCTTAAAGGTACAGTATTATTTCCCGAACAGCATACATGAGGAGAACGAGCATCCGATGATCAATTCCGTATGTTGTTCAATTTTATAATTAAGGAACCAATTCTATTGCGGAAAGAGAAGCAACTGAGGACGTTGTTTTGGAAGCGCGGGCAAATGAGAGTGACATTGGAGCTTCCTGCGCATACGTTTCTGTTGGGTGAAGACATCCGTGTTCAAGCGAAAATCATCAATCACAGTTCTGTGGCTGTTCGGAAGTCGAAGGCGTCTGTGTTTCAATTGTTCACGTGGAATGGTTGTCGACGTACGAAACCAGAATGGGTGCAGATCGCCAGTGTAACGTGTGGTGTTGTTGCACCGGGCGAGAAATTCCATTGGAACAACGTGCCTCTGAAAATCCCGACGGATATACCACCGAGTGATTTAGGGCCTCGTTGCCGGTTGTTCAAAGTTCTCCACGGATTCCAGGTCAGAAATGCGATATTTTTTTATGAACGAAAAATATGGTGGGTAAGATTTATGAAAAGATGTGCTCTTGTGAGGCATGAACCTAGAATGAGCGCTTATTTTAATGATGTCCATCTCGTGAAATCATCGAACATCGATCTACTCTTGGAAAGCGACTTCAAATCATAATCCGACCGACATGTGTTGAACTGACGAATCCGAATGTTTGAATACGTCTGTTAATCTCCGTTTTCTTTTTCCGAATACTGTAGCTTTTTTTGACGTAGCATCTATAATAATGTTTGAAATGTTGATTCAATCGTGAAGAGAGTTACGACGAGCCTTCAATCGGAAATTTCCCGTCAGTTATTGAGTTTGAAGCATTCGAACTTGTCTCACTGGGAAATTGATGCACTCATTAGTGCATTAGTCCTTCTGTAAAATGAACAATTCTAGTGTTAAGCGAGCAACCATCTGTCTTACATCCGATTGCGTACGTTTTTCAGTTCGGAAGGTCTGAACGAAGGTACATTCGATGACGTCTTATACCCTTGTTAATTTATTGAATTTGATTGCATGCCCAGTTTACCCAGTACAGTATTTCGCTTTTGACATTTTTCGTACAATTTTCATAGTTCGACGTGGTTCCCGAAGGCTTGCACAGAGAGGTGAAGTTTCGATCACGTGTCTATTTTGTGTCTAAACACAGTCTTCGATCGGATGGAAACACGGAGAATGCCGCTGTAACTTCGCAACAAGAAATGCCATCCGTTGAGGGAAACGATCGTAAGCTTTTCAATGGGTAATACCCGAAAAATCTGTTTCATCGCGTTTATTCTCTTGAAATAGCCCCGCCTTCATATGAAGAAGCATGTGCTGGTGTTCCTGGCCGTGATCGTGAAATTGAATTGTGATCTACGAACGTGTGCGACATCCGGATATTTTTGTGTTTAAAACTGAAGGATGTTTGTAATGATGAACTACTGCTGTGAAAAACCTTAGGCTGCTCATTTCAACTTGGACTAGATTCTTAATTGTAGTTTGAGACATTTTCAACGTGAAAATAGTGTGTTGTTGATTTTCACGTTTTTTTTACGCATTACATTTGACTATTTTTATTTGCTATTTTTCGAATATTCCTTTTTTCTTCGAAAATGTATGGTTGTATTCGTTACGTTTATTTGCAAGACTTCTTTATTATATCTTCTTGATCGCAGGAACGTCGAGTCTTGCGAAACATCTAACGTGATATTTCTTTTTGCGTTACAGATCGGTGAAAAATGGTGACGCTTAGCATTTCTTTTTCTGGAAACCATGTTGTGTACGCTGGCCAAGTGGTGTCGGGGAAAGTGACCGTTCTTAAAGTCCCCGGGGGTTGTAGATTATTAACTTTAACTCTGTTGGGTCAGGGGAAAACCTCTTGGACTGAACAAGAGTCGAGGTATGACTCTGTCACGGAGAGGGACGTTGTTGATTCCGTGCATTGCGGAAAAACCGAAGATTACTTCATTCAACCAGTGTGTCTTTGGACCGGTGAGTATTTCACAGTATGCTGAGCGTTGAAGGAGTGCTTCTTAAGAGTGATTATATCTTTCAGAATCCTCGGGAGTTTTATTGCATAGCGCGCAGGAGTTCTCCTTCAGTTTCATGTTACCCCCGGATCTGCCACCATCCTTTCATGGTTCCTACGGGTCAATCGAATACACTTTGACTGCTGTTCTTGAAAGACAAGATGCCAGCACAAACAAAACTGCGGTTGCGACTCTCATCGTAATTCCGCAGTGCTCCATGGGGCACTTGAAGGAAATGATGGTTAGTGAATCGTTGTGTTGTGATCTCAACTTGATGAACACGAATTGATTTCTGTAGCTTGTCACAGTTTTCTCAGTCTCACTCTTTTATGAAGAGCAAAAGGGAAGAGCAAGTCTTGAAGGAGAAATTTCTGAATCGCAATCTTATTTTAAGATTGCTTTGGTTGGGTCAGCTTTGATCAGACTGGGATACTTTGTCATTGGATGTTTCTGTTTTTTCAATTTGCTCTTTTGATCCTTGTGCACTTCAAGCTATCTCTTGGCTGTTTTTAAGGTGGAATACGTCTAACTGTTTGGACGCATTTATTTTTGTTCCAACCAATGGACGAAGTTCTGATGTTCTACATTTCGAAACAGTTGCGCACCGAATGCTCATGATGAAGAAATTATACTAAAATAAGTTTTCCATTTAGAAACCTGTTACCATGGAAGCTGAGAAAAAGCTGAAGATGCTGCTGATAAAACAGGGATATGTCAGTGCAACTGTAACGCTTCCGCGTGCAGTTTACATCCTCGGCGAAGTGATACCAGTTTCTGCGTCTATTTTGAATCAAAGCTCAGTTTCCCTGGGGAAAACGAAAGCCAAACTAGTTCAAACCGTCACTTTTCACGCTGATTCGAAATCGAAGGTCGAAAAGCTCGACTTGTGCAAAGTGAAGCGTGGAGAAGTTGCCGCTGGAACAACGTTCGAATGGACGAAGGTTCCCGTGGATGTTCCGAATAATGCTGCGCCTTCGGATTTTGGACCAAGGTGTACATTGTTCCGGGCTGAACACAAATTAGAAGTGAGGGAACATAATTTTCGTTGTTTTCACGTGCAGTGCAGAACCCGCATTTGCTGTTTTTCTGTTACTTTCCATGTAAGATCCGTTGGAGAGTTGAGCGTTTTCTGTTGCAAATTCATTTGAATTTGTTCCTGGGTGCAAAAGGAAGGACTTCGATCTTTCAAATTTGCACAGTAAAGCGGTGTATGAGATTGTGAACTTTCTCATATTTGCCAAGAATGTCTTAATGCCGAAATGAAGCTAACTTACCGTAGATAGAATTGAAATCTGAGAAGGGAGAAACGACGTAGCTTTGCTTTAAATTGTAATACGTATCAGAAAGCCAGGATTATCAGAATCCGACTGCACCACCGTTCGATATCTTGACTTCTCGTACGTAATTTGTTCACAGAATTTTTTTTATTTCTCAACGTTAGCAATTGTACTAATTTCAATGCTAAAATGATCCCCCGGATTCCCGCATACTCGGAGTAGGGAATATTTTTCGAGTTAACTTCCTGTTGCAGTTGAAAAATTCATGAGTTCTCGAAATGTGCAAATGATGTGTAGTGTGTAGCAGTGCATCAATTACAGAACTATAAATGTTTAGCTCAATTGCATTTTTGTCATGTAAGCCTAGGTTTCAAGAATAGATGTTACACTGAGGCCTGGTTAGTTTTTGCGTTGAGGTCGGTGTTCAATTTTGAGGAATGTATCTATTCCCTCGATAGTTTTCTGTGCATCCTGCTGGCTTACATTCGGCGTTGGAACTCGCAGCTGCTCTAAAATTAGGAACGGTATGGGAACATTTGCAGCCAGTGTTGGTTCCGCAGAGCGAACCCAATGCTCCATTTCCCCTTCCGACTCCGGTTCCGATCATAAATCCGCCACCTTTTCCCCTTCCGACTCCGTTTCCGGTTATTACTCCGCCACCGTTTCCCTCTCCGACTCCATTTCCGATCATAAATCCGCCAGAAGCACCTCTTGCGACCGACGCTGGGGTATTTCCGCCTTCTGCTCGTAAGTTTGTTCCTTTAGAGCAAAACTTTGCGTGATTGATGGATTTTGCGGTTCTTTCAGCATCGATGCCGCCGAGCTACGAGACATCGTATCTGATGAACTCCGCTTTCTTGTATCCTGGTCTTCCGAAAGAGTAGAAAATCAAAAGCGAATGTGCTCCTAGTCCTTTAGGAAGGTTTGTGATTTGTTTACCCTGCTGGAGCACGGTACAGTGTCTTGTTCAAAATTATCTTCCTTCGATAGACGAAATTGTGATGAGAATCAAATTTTTTGGGTTAATAGAAACCTTTTTTGATCTGATTAGGCTTTAGAGGTGTTCGTTCGACGGCATATGTTCGAGCTACGATGAAGTGCCTTCAGTTCATTACTTCATACAGTTTATGTATTTTTCATGTTGTGTGTGTCCTAGAAACTGAAATATTCATCAAGTTGAGCAGTGAGGAACTCACCGACTGATTTCGTCATCTAATCTGTCCTATTCAATGGCTGATTTTTCTTATGTGTGTAGATGTCACTCGCAGTCAGAATTTCGATTTTGATCTAGCCCGGAATTATTTTGTGCATTTACTGGAGTTTCACGAGGATAGTTGCAGTAACAGCAAAGGGTTTATATGTTCTTCATGGAATATTTCTCGAGGATTTGAAATAGTCATTGTATTCCTTCTTCTTTGAGGAATTCGTTTCAAAAGCTAAGCTTTTTGTCAAGCGAAAAGTTTAATGTAAATCCTCAATTCTGATTAGTCCTCTGCGAAATTTTTTGGTTACCCCGTACATGTGAAGAAAGTTCCAGTAGGAAAGCAATAGTCGGTACATGTGGCAATGTGTTCAACTCGCGTTACTATTTGTGTGATTTTTTTTTCCTGTCAGCGTTGTGATTCATAGCTTTTAGCATCCTTGTGATATTGTATCAGTGATTCCTTGTGTGATCAAAGGAAATTACTCGTGTTCCCTGCACGTTTCGTTTTCTGTGAACTTTACACTGTGAGCATTTTCTGAGACCTCATTCCGTGATTTCTTCGCAGCTCTTTTGATACGGAGTCAAACGTCTATCAGGAGTGAAACATGGTCGCCCTAAATATTAAGCTCAATGGAAGTACGGTCGTGTTCGCGGGAAAAACGTTAACGGGTTCGGTAATTGTGCACAAAGTGATCCCGTGTAAAGCACTTACACTGAGGCTTCTCGGTCGTGGAGAGACTTCGTGGGGAGATGGCGAATCGGCGCATCATGGAAGCTGTGAAGAGTATATCAACTTGAAACAAACTCTTTGGACTTGTGAGTCATGATTTATTTTCACTTATACTTTATTTAATATCTTTTTCATTCGCACTGTTCGAAGGATTTAGTCAAGTTCTTGCGCTTAAGCAGTCATGATGAATAAAAATTAGAATGAAAATAAAACCGAAAATTTCGAGAAACATATTTTTGAGTGCCAATACATGGCTTATTCTTGACTTTTCGGAATGATTTTGATTCCCTGAGATGATGTTGAAACAGATGTAATGTGTCCTTCAAAGAAAATTGGTATGCAGTTCTCAAGTTCCTTCTTTTCGCATTCTTAAAACAGGCGCGAAAAATTTTTCTGTTAGATGGATTCTGTCTCTCGAAAAATTGCTGAATTAAAAAAAAATGCGTGCTGCTATATGCGGGATCTCTTCTATGTTGAGTTCTGTATTATGCATCGAAGGCCGTCCGCTGCAAGATTTCTATGCTAGTTTTTTCTCCCTTCGTTGTTCACAAAATGTAATTGAAGGAATTATGATTGGAATATGAAGACGATTTTCCGTAATTGTGAGCCGCAATTAATAGTGTTCTAAATTTAGACGATGGGGGCAAACCACTGGTCTCTGGCAAGGGTTACGCATTTGGGATAACGTTACCCGAAGATCTTCCGCCGACTTTTCGGGGTCATTATGGATCCATCAAGTATGTACTGACTGCGACGTTGGAATGCAGCAACCCTTCGTTGGACAAGAACAGCATCGATTCTTTGACAGTGATTTCGTTCTCTCCCGTTTGCAATGTTCATCAAATGCTTTTGGTGAGTCTATGCCGGCTAAAAGTTGGATTTCAGTCTGTTGGGGTTGATTTGAGTAAGGTTATTTGGTTCATCATTCATGCCCAGACTGAGTTTAATCTCCAATGGAGTCGTTGATGTTAACTAGAATATTTTTTTATTCGATAAGGAGGCGCAAACTGTGAAGAAAGAGAAGAAAATTAATTTGACCTGCGACGGATGCATCAGCGCGAAAGTGACGCTGCCAATGTCAAAGTACGTCCTGGGAGAGTCCATCATGATTTTTGCGGACGTGTTGAACCGTGGCAACGTTGCCGTGAAGAAAACTACGGCGTCTTTGGTTCAAACTCTCATTTACTCTGACGGACGTGGCTCGAAATCCGAACGTGCTGTCATTTGCAAGGTGAAACGTGGGGAAATAGCTCCTGGAATGACTTATGCTTGGGTTTCTGTGCCTCTCGTCATACCGAAAACTATTTCGCCCTCTGACTTTGGACCCATGTGCTCCTTGTTCCGCGCCGAACATTGTGTTGAGGTTTGTNTTTATAGTATTGTATCTCAATATTTCAGAATGGAAATGACAGTACTAGCCGAGAACAGTTCTCTGAACTGTTACCTGCGCTCTTGCGAATGTGAATAGAAATTGTGAACTTCGTCAATTTTCTATTCAAGTTTTTTTTCTTTCTAATATATGGATGTGATTTGGTTGTGTAAAGGAAGTTTTTTGGATTCATTGCTTGATTTAATAATTATTTGTGTTCATAGTTCACCGTATATATCGCTGGCATTGAAGAAAAACTCGTATTCGACGTGACGCTGGGAACCGTGTGTGGAAGAGAACCTGATACCAATCGTTTTGTCACGTCCTACTTGAAACAGGGTTCGTTCCGGGTTTTACCGGTCAACTACCATATGAAGCGACACAAGACGTGTTATTTTTCAATTCTGTTTTTGTTTTCTGTAGTTTCTCCTCAACGCGCAAGAAATGGATGCCTCGAGAACGAAATGGATGTTCCAACGGCAGAGATAAACGCGTTGGAGATATAAAACTCCGGCAATTCCGAACTGGCTATACAATTTCAACGGACGATCTTAAAAGCAATAATACGCGAGCAAAGACGGTTGTGAATTTTTATGGGTATTTTTCACGTGGCCTTTGGGGAGCTGTGAATATTTTAAGCGATTGTGTTCTTTATTTTTCGGATTTGGACGGCGTAGTGGGAAAAAAAGGTTTTCCCTGCTTTTTTTCGATCTCTTGAGCTGTGAATGAAGTCTTTTGCTATTTTCGAATGATAATTAAAGTACGGTTTTAAGATGTATCTTGCGTTGCAAGCCTGCGATTTGTATTGCGTTTGATTGATCTGATTTTTTTCGTGACAGTGCTTTACATTTTTTTGTTCAAGTTGAGTAATGTGCCTGGATTTTTCCGCCAGCATGAGGAACTGCGGGTTTCGGGATGAGAAAGCTATTTTGCCTAGTCATGCAGTGAATGTGAGTACAATTACACTAGAAATTCTCTGCAACGAAATTCAAGGTACCGCAAAAAAATTGTGACTATTTTTTCACAATTTCAACGCATTGCCCCACCTTCCATAAACGCTAGTTTTACTATGAGTTCATCATCATTTGATAATTCCCCTTCTACCGCGGCTTTCTCTTCACACTTGTAAAGCAAAACGAATTTTTTGATGTTCTCTGTCCATCCCATAGGAATGATCTTCAAGTGACCGAAATTCTTCAGTGAAAGATTGTTTTAGACAAAATCGTTTTTAGATTTATTCTCGAATGTACAGTGGTTGTGATCGTAAAGATTGTTTTACGGAAGTGGAGACAACTGCGATAAATATTGGCATCAAAACGAGTTTTTTTGCTTCCGAAGAGAATTGTTATTCGTTTCTTATAATTCTGCTAAACGTTCACGCCCTCGTGTTTTTCTTTGTACTTGAATCATCTTGCGTTACACAGTGACCGAAAAGTGTTCCGAGAGCGTTTTTCCAGAATTTCGAAGAAATTAGAACAGTAAGGAAAAGGGGAGAAGAAACCGAGAAAAATGGGGGAGGATTGCAACATAGCGAGCTAAAGTAACGAGTTTCTGTCCAATTTTGCACAGAAACGACCGTGAACATTCAGAAGATATATGTGTGCATCTCTATGAACCCGAGGGAAATTTATTTTGAAATGGTTTCAAAATTATCTCCAGTTCAGCTTCTGTGTGGAATTTGTGAGCGTTCATTTTTTTACATTTCTATGCAAATTAAAAAAAATGCGTGCGTTATTGAGGCAACCCAAATGATACGATCAGACGTGATTTCCCGTTCCGGGTCGTCGAATGCACCCGATATCTCCGGAAATGCGCTAGCATTTTTTTATTCAGAAGGCAACAACCATGGCTTATTTTTCCGATTCAATTCTGCAGAAACGATGTACGTTTACAGATTACGAAGACTTGGTATTTTTCGAAATTTTTAGCGTCTTGAAGCGAAATCGGTAAGGTTTTTATGGGTGATACGAGCT